ATGACACGTGTATGGGCTAGAGTAGCAGGGGAGATGGGGGTTGCGTCCCAGGGCCTGGTCGAGGTCCCACCCGCAAATAGGTTCGTTCCCCGTAAAGTAAGGGAAGTTAAGAGGTTCCACACGGGGTCGTGCAGACAAGCAAGAGTGCTCCCAATGTTCCCGGAATTCCCAATCCCTCAAACACTCGTGGTCAGTGACACGAAAGGGAATGTCGAAATTTATGCTGCAAGTTGGGGGGGGCATCAGCCATTCGGGCGGTTAGTTGAGTCCGGGTTTTGCAGGCGCGTGCGTAGGCAGCGATCGTCGTGATCAGACCCACGTGTGCGTGCGCAGGACCCATCCTCGATCGGGTAGGTGAAAGTCAGCGAGACACGTGAGGGCACTGAGGGGTCGTCTTTCTAGAGAGATGGTCATCTATCATGCCTATCCAATTCATATACAGACAGAATCGCGCATATCTATCATCCATGCAGCTAGCCGACATACAACCAGAAAGAAAAGAGGATCATGCAACAATTCTTTGGCCGATCATCCAAGAGATCACACGAGCCTCGATTACTTATAACCAACCAATCAGATTCGCCAATTTAAAAAGACAAAGAGTGAGAGAAAACAACTATGCATCAATCTCCGAAAAGAACCAAAGGAAAAATCCGAGATGCCGATCCAAAAGGACAAGGGCGTCCTGCACCGTATATCAAAAGTGTTCGCAACGATAGGGGAAGAACCATTCACTCAGAGGGATAGAAGAGAACACCACCACAACACATCCCGAGGCGGGCAGGCGGTCACCTCGCACCTACACAGAGTTGTCACCGCGCTTAGTCCAGGCATGCCCACCAGGTTCACCCGTGTGCCACAGTCTATGTATCCCCAGCGGCCGCGGGCATGACCGCGGCTCGCTGTCGGGGTCGCGGGGCCGCGGTCGAAATCGGCACACCGTGGCCAAGGGGAGGGGGGTCCTGCCGATTGGGGTCGGGATTCCGACGGCGCGACCAGGACCCTCCCCCCCCCCCCCAAGAAAAAAATTAAAAAATGGGGGGGTGTATTTTTTGGGGGGGGGGGGGGGAAATAATGGACCGCCTTTTATTTATTTTTTTACTTTTCTTTTTTCCCTTTGATTAAACAATTGTGCAGTTTTTTATTGATCATTTTTTTTTTTTTTTGATTGATTGATTGATTGACTGGTTAATTGATTGATTGATTAATTGATTGATTGGTTGATTGATTGATTGATTGATTGATTGATTGATTGGTTGATTGATTGATTGATTCAATGATTGATTGATTGATTGATTGGAGGAGGAGGGGT